ACCTCTTTTCTATGCCCGAACCAGTTGGGCTCAGTGGATAGAGCGTCAGCCTGAGGACTCAAGGGTCCCAGGTTCGATTCTGGTCAAGGGCATGTACCTTGGTTGCGGGCACATCCCCAGTAGGGAGTGTGCAGGAGGCAGCTGGTCGATGTTTCTCTCTCATTGATGTTTCTAACTCTCTATTCCTCTCCCTTTCTCTCTGTAAAAAATCAATAAAATATATATTTTTTAAAAATAATAAAATAAAATTAATGAACCATGAAGATACTATGTACTTGAAATCATGAAAGATTCCCTTTGCACAAACCCCCTCAAAAAATGGTAGAAAATGATGCTAAACATTACAACAAATTCATTTATTCATAGTGATTATGTTCTTGGTAGTACAGCATCTGGGAAATCAGGTTGGTCCTGTTAGTACCAGCATCTACTCCTGTCACACCCACGTGCTCTGCCCTTCCATTCTCCATTGTAGGGCGGAGCATAAGAGATACTACAGTCTCACAGCCTGCCCATCCCCATCCCTGTCTTACAGTCCCATGAGTCTTAATAAAAAAACAAACACACTAGCACTCTAACAAATCCATATTTTAAAAGTATGGAACTACTATGGCAACAGTGTCAGCACATGCATGTTTCACAGCCTTCTCTATACATTCAGCACATGCAAAAATAGAGCTCCCCCAGCCTAAGAATTTGCTGACACTTCCAAAAATTGCAAACTTCTCCAAAACAGTATCTCATACCTGCAACTCAAGTTCAAAACAGGGGGCAAACAACACAGGATGCAAGTACTAACTTTCAGTTATGATAAGATGTCACCTCATTCTCTGAATGCAATTCCCAATCAACCATAAATTGATTTGGAAATCTCTGTGTTCCCTTCAAGTTTTCCCCCAGTACCTGTGCCTCAATTCACAATTAGCCGTTTCTACCAGTGCATGCAATACGATAATATGAAATTCTCATATGAAGGTCTTAGTGTTTTAAGAACTCTGGAAAGGTCTGATTGGGAAAGAAATGAAAATAAGGTTCTAGTTTTCAGTCTCACACATGAGCTCTTTTCCAACATCAACATGGATAATCTAGAAATTGGCTAAATTCTAAACCTAATTTTTGGGTGTCACAAAGAGATTATTCTTCCTTGGGAATACAGGAACTCTAAGTTGCCAACTACTCTTTGGTTTTAATCACCATAACTAAATACACAAATACTATTAATCATTCTCTCATTACTAAAAACAATTTTGATCTAAAAACGTTTTATATGAGGAAATAAGTAATACTCAACTTAATTCCCTCTTTCCAAATCTTCTCTTTAAACCTAGGCAACTAGCTAAATTTTCACCAATAGTATACCAAAGGGATTTATTATTAATATTTTAACCAAAATCACCATAGACAGGGTCCTTATTTTCTCTATTTTGAGTATAGTACCAAGTGATTCTACAAAAGGAACTGTATAGCTATTAATATTTATTTAATAACATTTGAATCTAGATATAAATAAAAAGAAATGTTGGCTTCACCATCGTAAATAAAAAGAAATATTTTTAAAATACTGATTTAAACTTGCAATGAATGCTTAGTTCAACAAAAAAGTCAAAACAACTTGTTATAGAATCAACTTTTAATGTCTGCTGGTCCTTCACAAACCAAGTGAAGGCTGCTATTATTATTACCACTATTTTAAATGTGCAGTTTACCTGAAAATAATCATATTTATGAAAAGTTTTAAGTTGTACCAAAGCCTAAGGCTATATAAAATACCTGAAATTTTAAAATCACAGTTTAGTGCCAAAAATATTTTCATTGTTTTCAAATAAATAAACATGGAACTATAACTGGGTTTTTCAAGTGCAAAGCTATTGAATCTACATTTTAAAAATTGTCTTTTTTAGAAATTTAATGGAAAGCATTTAAATGAAAACCTTAGTTTACTACTTCCAAAAATAAATCAACATTTTTAAGTGTAGAAAAATTAGAAACTGTGCAATTAATAGGCTGGAAAGTTAAATATCATTGCCAATAACCAATTATGTTTGCTGAATTTCAAGGGAACCTATTGTATATTAAACTTTTAAAAAGTGAACTCATCTACCCTCTCATCTCAAAACTTTCTCAACTTTCCCATTACAACCAACAATTTAACTTGCAGTCAACTCTTCCAGACCAGTAACATCAGAATTTATTTTTAACTCCTGACTCCTTCCCAAATATTCCCCTTCAATCCAATACAAAGTCCTGCCAGTTCTTCATTCAGTTGTTCTCTCAAATGTGTTCTTTTCATCCCATTTTCACATTTTACTTTATACTCCCTCATGATTCACAACACACCCTTACTATATCCCTAAAAGGGCTTTAATGACTTGACTCTAATCCATCAACTCAGCTGCCCAAATGATCTTCGAATATCTTGGTTCAGCCATCTACAATAAATTCCAATATCTCTTGAAGCTCAACCAAACTCTTATAGGCAGGCCCCTTCTACCCTCCATCAGCTATTAACGTATTTTCCAGATTCCACCTCTCATTTTCCTATTTAGACTCCTTTAATTCAGATTTACCAACTTGCTTGGTAAATACAAAAATCATTTACCTGTCGTACAAAAAAACCACCATCTCTGTACCTCTGTCCAATCTTTCCATTGAGAAGCCTGTATGCTTCTGTATCAATTGAAGTTATTGCCTCCTTTACCACCTGTCTTAAAACACACTTCTGCGGAAGTCTTCCCTCTCTAACCCATCTGCCTCACCTCTTTATTCCCTGTTCCTCTGAACAAAGCATTCTATTTGTATTTATAATCTTACAGTCATCTTGGTAGTGTCTTCATATTTTGACCTATAATCTGCCTCTACTACTAAATGATAAGCTTTTGAGGACAAGGACTACATTTTCTTATGTATCTCTCTCTTGAACAGGGGTACCTGAACACTAGCACTCTAACAAATATTTAATGATTTCCCTTTCTTCTAAAATGTCCTTAAAGTCAAGGTTGTCAAAAACAATTAGCATTGAACTCCAACTTTTTAAATGTTAAGTTGATCTATATGATAACAGAAAATTAAACATTTTAACCTACACTTTACAAGAATTACCTCATCAATCAACATCCACATTATCAAGAATTAAGAAGTCATTTTCAAAGAAAATCCTGGGGATAAAATGAAATGTCCAAAATTTTAACATAAGCTATTTTATTTTGCTTTCTGAAACAGAGCTAATATATTAATTACCTAAAATTGATTTTGAGTGGTTTTTAAACTATATTACCAAGATGAAAAAACAAACACCCCAATAGCACAAGAGGCTCTAAAGTAGCTATTATAAGATTTGCTTCATCATAGCTGAAAATTACCCTAGAGTTTTTAAATATTCCTTTCAAATGATCCCATGAAGTGCTTAGAAAGCTTGACCCTTCCCTGAAGATGCATCATCAGCTTCCCTCTTCACATACCCTGCATTCTGCACTAGCTAGTCACCACCCCACAAACCCCACTCCAAATTAACTTTCAAAAATAACCTCCCATTCAGCTATTACCTTAGACTATCCTGTTTCAGGTAAGTTCCAAAAGCCAACAGAATTGAAATCCTGAATTCAACAAGAATCATTTTATGTTCCTTAAGGATATAATCAATTTCACATAACAGCATATATTTCTAAAAAAAAAAAATCTCAGTTCTTCAGTTCTCTCCTTCTTCTAGGCAACAAAATAGTTTTTCTTTGCCCTCGTGGGATAAGAAACTATAATTTTTGCCAAATTCTGGAAATATTTTTAAATACGCTGTCATTAAATAGCACATAAACAAATCCACAAGTAGAGATACATCAGAACACTGGATACTTAGTATACCAAACACCTCAAGAACACAGACTTTCAGCACAAATCTGGGACAAGAGTACACTCTAGCAACAAATATCCCAAATATCCCTATTATATGCAGGACCACAGCGTTCTGCAAAACCTATGATGGAAAGGTCTAAATCCATATTCTCACAACTAAATCCATAGTTTTATCTAAATGTGACAGAAAAACAATGCAAGAGCATTTTAAATAATCCTAAGGGGACCCCTGACCTCCATCTATCATTTAACAAGTACAAATGCAATGGCACCCAAAATTGAACTTAAATGACAAGTCAGTAACAATTAACATTCAACTTAGTATTTGGCAACATGACAATACAAACCTCAATCAAAAATTGGACCTATTCCCAAATTACCTTTTGCCTAAACATAAATTATATAGTAGTAGACAGGTAATGTCAAAACGGGAAGGATCAAAGATAACACATTAAACCACTTATCCAATTTAAAACCATGCAAATAGAGATACTACTGCTGCTGGGTATCAGCAGTTCCCACTAGCTGCTAGCCCCTCGTAAAGGAAGGAATCAATCAATACTCGCCTCCCAACGTGAACGCCCGTTACTGAACAAGTTCATCTCAGGATTTAGAACAAATACTTTGTATAGTCACACAAGCAAGAAAGAAATGTCAGGCAACTGTAACACTCCGTCTCTCCATTAAGTATATACAAAACGATGGAAACCCCTGAGACCTGATCTAACTAAAATACCCCTCATTCCAAACGACATAAAATGAGCAACAATACATCATGTTGTTTATGAATCAAGTCTTGTCCTTTCTCCAAAAGGATGAGCAAGTCAACACTACCATCGCTATTTTAACGCGGAAATACTCCAGCACTTAACACAGCCGACTACCAACAGCCAGGCAAGTAGAAGAAAATAAGTTGCAAATCAAATCGTCCAAACAAAAATCGTATTCTCTCAACTCAAGGTTAATGAGACCGGAGGAGGGGGTACGGGAGGAGAAAAGAGGGAGCTGCTTCCTCCTTGCAGACAGGTTCTTGCCCATTTCCATCACATCTGATGGCTGTATCGGGAGGTCTAAGACCTGACGACCCTGGCATTTCCAGGTTTCCTATTTTAAGGATGCAGCGGAGAAGGGTGGAGAAGAAAATCAATACTTACTGCTAACTTTCATGCTGCCAAACGCCGAAGGCTGCTGCACTGGCTTGCAGCTCTCCGCAAAGGAGGTGGTTCTGGGCCGCCCTGACATGATCACTCTCTTCCTGAATCACCTTCTTTTCCTTCCTTCCTCCTTCTCTTCCTTTTGTTGTATGTTGGGATGTTAGGTTAATGACAAAAGCAGCATTAAGTTCTCCCACAAGAAAAAGAAAAAGACTTCGTTCTTTTGCGTTTTTTTCCACTCCTTCTGTATAGCTATTTAAAAAACGAGCGATGTATTTCTCCTTCAAGACAGATCAGTGTGGGTATTTAACATAGATGATTTGAGACTAGGGGGGAAAAATACAATTCATTCCCCTCCCTTTCCTTGGAGGAGAGAAAAGGAGGGGGGGGGCGGGAAGAATCCTAAAAAATATATATATATATATATCACGCGAAACGGGGACAAATACTTGATTGAAAATAAGTACTTTGAATATTCTATTTTCCTCGGGGATTTTTTTTCCGAGTCAATGAAGAAGGGAAGCGGCGGAAGGATCACGAGTCTCACGCTTGAAAAGAAGGGGGATGGGAAGGAGGGAGGGAGAGGGAGGGGGTGGCTCGGAGATGCGACGGGAAACGCTGCGGCTCGGGGAG